TTCGCAGCGCGTACCTTCTCTCACATATTTCTAGACTCAACTGATATCCGCCTTTTGTTCTGTACTCTACTTTTCTCCGGTGTCTGAAGTACTCTTGAGCTGTTTTACAAATTCTTCGTCTGACTCCGCCCACCTCAGAGCAGACCCGCCCTCAATTTTTGTGCCCCGCACTCTTCACAGGCGACCCCCTGCTGACCTTAATCCACTTTTTTTTTCGCCATGGCGCTCGGTGTCTATGTGTTCTGGAACTCTTCTGCCAGAGTTTTTGTCTGGCTCTCGCCCACCTCGGGCTGGCCCCGCCCACAACATGTATACCCCACATTTCTTAATCGGCGACCCCTTGCTGACCTGAATTCACTTTAATTCCGGTCTTCGGAGTGCTCTTGAACCGTTTTACAGACCTTTTTGTCTGGCTCGCCCACTCAGGTAGGCCCGCCCACAATTTTCATGACCCACATCCTCACCGCGCGACCCTCTGCTGACCTTTGACGTGAAGCTTTTTTTCCGGTTCTCGAGAGAGCTCTGGAACGTTTGGGACAGGACTTTTTGTCCCGCTCCGCCACTCGGAGCAGGCTCGCCCAAATGTTTTTTGCCCTCGATCCCGGTTCCTCACCTTCGAACCCTCTTGCTGACCTAATCACTTTTTTCCGGTCTTTGCGAGAGTTGGCTCTGGCGAGAGTTTTGGAGACCATTTCTTCGTCTGGGCTCCGCCACTCAGGCTGGCCCGGGCCGTGGGACCTCAATTTCGATGGGCCCCACAATCCTCACCGGCGACCTCTGCCGACCTTGACGCACGTTTTCCGGTCTTTGCAGTGCTCTGGAACCGAGCTACAAACTTTTAAAGTGAGTATCCTGCGGTTTAGGGCAAGCTCCGCCCACTGTGGGCGGATCTCAACACACTTTGGGCATGCCCAATACTCGCCAGATATTTACATTCTGCACTGAGCTTTTTGCGGCTTCTGAACACTCTCGCGAACCGAGTTACTGAGTTTTATGCGAAGCACCGCCCACCTTGAGTACGCCCCGCCCATTTTGGATGTGTCTGCCACAGTTAGTCTGGCGACTCCTTACTAACCTTATTCCCTTTTTCCCCATCTTGGGCTGCTCCGGAAGCGAATTATGAACATTTTTCTGCGGAACCCCAAAATTTCGGCGAGTGCCCCGCCCACTGTGGGCGGGGCTTCGCATAGGTCAAGTGTGCTTTTTATTTCTTGTCCCATGCTCTACCCATCCCCACCTTGACCCGACCTCTCCAAGTCGTTCTTCAGGTCGAACCGAATTTCCGGACAGACAAACAAACTTACAAACAAACAAACTTACAAACAAACTTACAAACAAACCAGACAAGCGAATTATATATATGGCGGGTTCGATGGGGTAATAACAATCTTGTGGCAAGCTAAATCGAATCCTACTGTCGTCACTGACAATAAACTTACGCCGCGAAATCCAATCCAAAATCAAAAAGATCTTCGAATTTCTTGAAAACCGAAATTCGCGAAAAAAAAAACGTCAGATCAAAACTTACGTGTTCTTTTTCATGGAGCCAGTCGGACAGGTCATCGACTTGGCGGACGAACCGATGATAACGACCTGCATCTACAAGCTGCGTACGTCTCCTATTACATTCCTTGACTAGATCAGAATATGCCGTCTCTAATTTTGCTTGACGTGCAGCGATCTAAAATGGAAAAACCTCACATTCCTGCATAATCAAAAGCGCTAATGATGAGTAATGAGAGAGTGCTAAATACCAAGTCATAGGAAGAATAAACAGAAGGCTGTGAATTACCTGGTTCGCATCCTGATGGTCCTGCAACGAATCGCAACGGGTACGAAGTCTGTCCAGTTCGTTTTTAAACTGAGCCACCTGTAAAAGACAATTGACACTACGTAGTTACATCTGAGAGAAATATCTGGTGGTTCACCTCCTTGTCAAGCAGAGTTAGCCGTCTCAGATATCCTTCTGCAGCGGCTTGGTCGCGACCCAGTCTCCTGATTGATGGCGACAATCATTTGATCCTGAAAACACTAGATGATACAACCCTATATACCATTAGCCCGTATTCATACTTCGCGAATGACGCAATACAGGTCGCGCGGGCGCGGCTTCCACCGCTAATCGTTGGACACTGCACTAGCAATGCGCATTTACATCCAAGGCCAGAACTTGCCTTTCAGCAGTTTGCAACTGTCCAAAGATCCACGAAGTCTGGTCGCAAAGGGCATGCCCAAAAAAAAAATTCGCCCTCCCTCTGAATCGCCTCGAGCAGGAAGCAAAAATCTCACTCTAATCCATTGCTCCGCCTCAGCTGCTTCCGTGTAGTACTCGTGGCTGTCCACAGCGTGCTGCAGTCGAGCTCGTCGCACTGAGGCAGCATCCTAAATTGTGTTACTTAGCATTGGCGGACTGAGCAACCAAAATTAGACCCTGGGCATACCTTAACTGACAGCAACGCTGTTGCGAGATTGTCGATCATCTTCTCTATCTGAGGAGCAGCAAAATGTTTTGCTCGTACCATTGCCAATCCTTTCGATTCAATTTCATGAATACCGGCCTAAATAGGCAACCATCTATCCTTTCGAAAGAAAAAACTTTCTTCGCAGAAACTCACTTGACGTGAATCTAGTTCCTTTTCCAGAGCCATATGTTTCTTCTGCAAGCTGTGCGCCGCATGAAGACTGTCACCACACTCTTGGCTTCGTGCCAGCGGCAACCTGTCCGCGAGCCATTCGAGTTCTTCTTCAGCACAAGCCGTCCATTCGTATAAAGCGTGCGCATCGCGTAGGTTTTCCCTTGAAAGAGGAAGCAGTTTCTTTTAGAAACACTGTGTAAAATATATGAAAACATCGAATCTCACCTTCTTATCAGTACTGGCTCGTTCAGCGAAGAGAATCCTCGCGTCTACTTGCTCAGCAGGCACCAAGGATCGCGTCCGACGTTGGCGACCCGAAGAGTTTTGATCTCACGAGCTTTCTGCATTAGGTCGTGCACAGCTTCGGCTCGGCCCTGATGAGAAAAAGAAGTTTATTGCGTACTTGAGACAGAGGGTACGATTCCTGGAGGTTGGCGGTTGTTGCCATCGTCACTGGCGGAAGAGTTGCAAGACGGCATTTGGCACACCCCCTCAGCCCTTCCACCGATGACGTTGGCGACAACGGCCCGCCCCAGCCCAGTCGTGCCCACTACCTTTTAACACCATTGTAAATTGGATATAGTACTGCCATAAAGTTAGCTCAAGAAAATCTCACTCGTATTTCGGCATCCAAAGCGTCCAATTTCTTCATCAAGTGTTCAACAGAAACCAAATCGCGGCCATGGTCATCAGAGCCCAGCTCGCTTTCAATCTTCAATAGACGAGTACAAAACGAGAAGAGCAAAATAAACTGCTTGAAACATTCCACTTACCCTATCAAGCCATCTCTCCATATCTTCCACCTTACGCTGAAGAGTATGGGCTTCATACGCTTCACGAAGCCGTTGGGTTTTCAATGCAGACTTCGTGCGCAGTTCATCCCACCCACTGCGGAGCTCTCCAAGCTGAGCGCGAACCTGAAATCAGAGAAACATGGAATGTGGACGCAACAGTTTTGATCAATACTAATGGAAAGCCTAAATAAAACACCAAAATCGCGCTTATTCTAATCAAACAATGAACAATACGGCATACAGTTAGCGTTTATTAGATCGTGCTCACGCTCTACTACTGTAAAGAATCTGGGATTTGTGAGTATTTTAACCAAACAATGGAGAATACTTAAACATAGAGGTATATTCGTCTTAATCTGGCGAAAATGCGATTTGGAGATCGCGCAATTTCGAAGAATATCGACGACAGGGAATTAGACGGAAATTGATTGACTGCTTTCTTA